CATTAACAATTTAACAAAAATTTATTAAATTAAAGGTTTATTAACTATTCATTAAAAATTTGAGAATTATTTATTAGCAATAAAGTAAAAAAATTGATAAACTTATATGTGAATTTTTTTGAATTGTGAATAGATTTATAAATTATAAATAATACAAAGTATAATTAATATATAATAATATTATAATTTAATTAATTATATATTATTATGTAAATAATACCAAATAATTTATAAATATAAATGATTTTTTTTGTAAGTTTTAAAAATTTTTATTTAATTGATAAATAGTTGCCAAATTTTTAATGAATAGTCAATAAACTTTTAATAAATAATTTAATGAATAATTATTGAATTTTAATAAATTGTTAATAAATTTTTAATGAATAGTTTTAATAAATAATTATCAAATTTTTAATGAATAGTTGATTAATTTTTGACAAATTATTAATAAATTAATGTCAAGTTTTTATTGTATTGTTAATAAATAAATTTGTAACAAACTTTTAATGAATTTTTGTTGAATAGTTATTGAATTATTTGAAAAATTGGTAATTAATTTTTTGATAATTTATTGTTAAACTTTTAATTAATAAATTTTTGATTACTTAATTTTTTAATTATCAAATTTTTAATTGCTGAATTTTTTGATTACCGAATTTTTAGTTGCTGAATTTTTGATTATTGAATTTTTAATTGTTACTTTATTGCCAAAATAATAATATGCTGAGTAACAATAATCAAAAAGAATTTAGCAATATTTTTATTATTAAATTTAATCAAATTTGGTAATAATTTAGCTGCCAAATGACATGATTTTGACTAGTGCTATTTATAATATTTTTGACTGATTTATTCTATTTAGATATAGAATCTCAAATCAATAAGACTTTCATAAATATTTAAATATAATTTTTTTAAATCATAAATATAATATATAACTAAAAATTTTATAAATATAGAAATTTTAATAAATGTCTAACAATTTTTTGAGAAAAATTTTAATGAAATATATAGTAAAAATAATATAAATTATTATTATTATTATTTTTTTTTTTTAAATCGCAACTGGTATTAGATGCGAGCTCTTTATTGATAATTAAATCTTAAGTGCTACATCAATCATCTCATACATATATATGTAGATTAATGATAACCTATCGTGACTTGTCCTAGGCAGACCTGCTTGAAACCCCCCTGTAGGTGGGCACGCCTGACTAGAAACCAGATGGTTGATAACAGTCATCAATGGCGATGTTGGTATAGTTAGCTAATTCTATTAATAAGGGACTACTATACTAACTTATATACTAGTAAAAAATCCTCAAGGGTTATTTTAACCACCCAGATACCCTGATACTTTTTACTTGAACCTCAGAAAGGATTTCTTTCTTCTTTGTCATCACTTGCGGCATCACAAACAAGTTCTGTTCGACAGGTCCTTCATTTAAGCAAGCACCGGATTGGGATATTCCAAGTTAGGACGGTCAGATTTCAAAGTCTGCTGGTACAGTTTTGGGATAGAGAATGTTCAGATGATTATCGTAGTCCTAAAAGCAGGGTCCCAGAGTCTGCTGGTACAGTTTTGGTGTTAGTGTTGTGTTCAGACGATTATCGCAGTCCTAAAAGCGGTGTCCTGGGGTTTATATCCTGTCCAGTTCAGGAGGGGTTAGGTCAGGCATAATTTGTGTAACCAGACCAGAGGCCTTTCTTCATGCAATTCTAATGGTAGATCCTTTTCAGCCCAGCGATCAATAGGAAGGCCAGAAGTCCCATCTTTGTGCAACCTGGTTATTTTTCTCACATGGCCCTTGTGTGGTATTGAACTCTGGACCTTGTGATTGTGACTTGGGAGCACTACCACTGTGCTATAGATCCACAGGTCTAAAATAATATAAATTATATAGTAAATAATATCAAATTATATAGTAGAAATTGATTAATAATTTATTTATATTGAATTATATAATAGAAATTAATTGATAATTCATTTATATCTTTAATATGCTGAATTATTTATTTTTTTTAATAAATGTTTTATAATAATATTATATTGAATAAATATTTTTTAACTAATAACTGACCTGACCAAGAACTTTATAGAGTTAAAGTTGAACTTTCAGGAATTTAATATAAATCAATTTTCTTGAAGTTTTTTTTTCCTCTGAAAAAAAAAATTATGTTATTATAGTTTTTCTTTAATATTTATTCTGTAACTATTATTACAAAAAAGTATAGTGTTTTAAAGCTTGATAGCAAACTATTGTTGTTTTTAGATTATATATTTTTTAGATATTAGAGATTGACTTTTTGATTTTCAAAAAGATTATCAAAAAATAAATTTTTGGAGTAGTAAAAAGAGTTCAATACTTTTTAATTAATATATTGTTATTATTAAATATAAAAAATTATAAAATAAAAATATATATACTTAAAAATATACAAATATATAAAAAAAGAAAGTATTTTTTCTGTTGATTCTCTAACCATACACAAAAAAGATGTTCACAAAAAGTTTTATACTTCTTTGCTAATAAAATCTTTAAACTTTTATTAAAACAACTTGAAACTTATCTTCATGTATCTCTTTTATCCTCTCTTACTTGTTTATAAACTCCTTTAAATAAAAACTTGAGCCTCTAATGGTCTGAAAAAACTCAAGTACACACTTTCTCTATTAAAAGTAAGAAGGTTCTAGGAAGTAAAAGGACTGACAAGTGGAATGTCACCTTATAGAGATAGAAGTGACAAAAAATAGAGGTTTTGTTAATAGGAAAAGGCTTGGCTTATTATTTACTTTCTCATATACTGTTTTTTATCCTCTTAAAGTGTTTACCATTTTTTATAGTTTTCTTGAGAAATTTTGTCTACCTCAGTTTGACCCTGAATTTTTGATAACACAATGTCACCTGGCATCTGATTGGTTGACACAAAACATGTTAGTAACTAAATATAAATAAGCTCCTATTGGTCACCTCATATGTCCCGATGATATCATTGATGATAGAAAAAGTTGATTGATATCCTGTGTTCACACCACTCTTCCAATTGGGTTAACCTACAAATCAAGTACCATAAGGTCAATAAGATATAAGTAACAAGTCCCCAGATAGTGAAAAAGCTACTATTTGTTTAAGCTATAGTCTTTCTCTTCTATTATCCTGGTCAAGCAAAGTTCAAGACCAAGGTTTTCTTTTTATTCTGGTTAGACAATAAAATCAAATGGTCTTTAGTCCATGCTAAACTTTAATCCTTTGATTACAGTTGAGAATGCATTTCCCAGAAGTTGTTAAAGAATATCGCAATCGACAAGGATCTCTATCACTACTGTTATCCTCCCATAATTACAAGGCAAAAGGATTATTGAGGAATCTGATCTTTTGAATAATAGAACATGTATACCAATAAAATTCCTTTAATTAGACGTGACTGTTGGAATGTATCATACTAAAATAATATGACCTAGTTCTTACTAGGTCATATAAGAACTTGGGATCCATCATAAGTTGTCTCTTTACCATAGATGGATAAAAAATCACTGCCCAAAGAAAGTTGGGATCAAGTGTGTCCTAGAAGTAAAGGTTTCTACTAGGTGATAAATTTCCTCAGATAGTATACAAAAAAGAAATCAAGATCAAGAATGAATAAGTTCCTCAGATAGTCAGAAAAAGAAATAATATTCCAATCTGGTATTTCTTATTGAGAAAAGGTCTTGAGAAGCAGGTCTTTGGAGAAAGCTAAAAATATTTTTTTCAAATTTTATTCTTTCATTTTCTTGTTATCTACTTAAACATTTTTAGACATCTCCTCATCCCTTTTTTCAACCCATCCTTTTGTAGTTTTCTGTATTTCAGTGGCTTAGTCAGATATATGGCAGTGACAACCTGCTGGCAATGATGCAGTGAACTAAAAGAGTCTTTATCCAAAGACATTGCGGAGTGAAATATTGTCCTCAAGGTCAAACTTAGAGACTTTTATACTTACAACTAGTTAGTTAGATTAGAATAATAGTTTAGCTATAGTATGTATCATACTGCTTGAATGAAAATGTACTTTTGTTTTTAATTGATTAATAAACTGATGATCTAGCCTAACTACAGATACTCAAAAAAAAAAAAAAAGAAAGTAATAAAAATTATAAAAAATAAAATTTATTTAATTTTTTTTAAAGATATATTTTTTAAAATCTCTTTTAATAAAAAATATTTTATTATAATATTTTTTTTTTCATGATGGTTTAAAAAACTTATTTATTTAATTTAATTTTTTCTATTAAATTTTTATCTTTTAAGAATTTTTATATAGTATATTATTTGGAAAAACTATTATTATAAGATTTAATGATAATAAGTTAGATGTTATTGTTGAAACTTTGTATAATTAGAATAATAAAAATATAAAAATTTTAAATTAAATAAATATTACTTTTTTATTATTTGATAACTTAATATTTAGATCTTATTGATTTTATAGAATTTAAGATATAGGCTAATTTAATTGAAAAAATAAAATATAGTATAAATATTATCAAAATACTTTATTATAATTAATAAAATCTTGTTTATATTTTAATAACTAATAGTTTCATATTAATCAATTACCTTTGATACAAATTATATTACTTAAAAATTTAATATTAAATAATTTATAATAGCTAAGTTTTTTTTATAGTATATTATAAATATTTACAGCATGCAACAGTATCTCTGAATTGATTGGTTGATTTTTGCAGGACACAAATTTTTATTGTGCGTGGCTCATGAGTGAATATACTGTATATACGTCTATGCATGTTATGTAATGGATTTTCAAGTGATGTGACAATGTGGCACGGTTAACCCTAATTGTAATCGAAACAATCATTGCTACAAAATCAGACAAGAGATCGTGAAAATGCTACCTAGGAAGTCATCAATTGGACAAACAATACGCCCCAAATCAAGGCAAGGACCATTACTTCCTTCACACTTAACTTTTAATAATTTGGGCTCGGCGTGAGATCAATGTCAGATAAACGAGTTGCCCTAAAAACCAAGCAACTTTCTACTCAAAAAAAGAGACGAAAACGTACTGACCCTGGTGTAAAAACACCTAGTGTCATGCCTAGTACACCTACAAGACCTGGAATTACCACCCCAATGTCACCAGTAGCTTCCCCAACGTCTCCTCCTCATAATTCCAATAAAATGTGTGCCTTTTTTCAACATTTCGACCCACAACCTTGGAGATTAAAACCTTATTATTTTACTAACCTTTAACCTTATTTATGTGTGCATCAAATCTTTCCAGTTATCCTCACCCAATATCTACCAACTCGCGTAACGAGGAGCGCTCCACTTCCCCAGCGAACTCGTCCTCCGCAGAGGAACCGGAAAGAATCATGGCGGAGGACGAAGAGGATCTTGAGGATTATTGTAAAGGAGGTTATCATCCTGTTAGGATAAATGATGTTTTCAACGAAGGTAGATACACCGTTGTACGAAAGCTAGGTTGGGGTCATTTTTCAACCGTCTGGCTAGCGAAGGATAATCGGTAATATGATTCATTCGTTAACTTTGATGAAAAGCTGCTTCATGTTCTTTTCTAAATTTTATCTGATGACTTTTCCATATGAAAATGTGGTAATATTTATATGGGCGCATTATAACGATTTCAAAGCCTCAATCGACATGTTGCTCTTAAAGTTGTCAAATCGGCTCCACATTATACAGAAACTGCTTTGGATGAAATTAAATTGCTGCAGAAAATTGTAAGCGCGAATCCGGATGCACCTGGGCGTAACCATGTTGTAGAGCTCTTGGATCATTTTCACCATAGTGGTCCGAATGGTACTCACGTGTGCATGGTGTTCGAAGTATTAGGGGAAAATTTATTGAGCCTGATAAAGCGTTACAACCATCGAGGTGTTCCCGCTCACCTGGTAAAACAGATAACCAAACAAGTACTCATGGGGTTGGATTACATGCATAGAGAATGTGGCATAATTCATACGGATTTAAAACCGGAGAACGTGTTGGTTTGCATTGAAAATGTGGAGGAGGTCGTGAGAAATGAACTTTTGAGTGGTACAAAACCAATAGCTCTTTCTTCTACTAAAAGAGGTCATCACCTACGCATCACCGGTAGTCAACCTTTGTCATCGCCGTCATCTGTATCACCTACAATAGCTCAAAGGTCGACGACGCAAGATCAGTCATCGTCGTCGTCAACACAAGGTATGTCAAAGAGTCAAAAGAAGAAACAAAAACAAAAAATAAAATTGAAGAAAAAGGCTGTTAAGGAAAATGGTGAACCACCAGTTAATGGTGCTGGAAATGATAATGACGAGGTGGAGGGGGTAGATAGAAATGATGAGGTTATTGAAATGCGTGAAACTTCCAGTCCTCTAGAAACTACCACGTAAGAATATTTTTTTTTCTTTTTTCTTTCTTTTATTTCTTCCTTCCTTTCTTTCTTTTCTTTTTCCTTTTTTTTTTTTTTTTTACCTGATTTTACAGAAATCAGTGGTTAAGGTTCTTAACATTTTCAATAATAATTTTAGAGATACTTTGGAACGTAACCTTAATGACATTTCTCTTGTCGATTCTACTTCGTATCAAAATTCGTCTTCATCTATAGTTACTTCTATAACTCAAGCTAAATTAACGCGCAAACCATCCACCTCGACTAAGTGGACTACGCCTGACAGAATCACGGTTAAAATTGCCGACTTGGGCAATGCTTGTTGGGTAGATCACCATTTCACGAACGATATCCAGACAAGACAATACAGAAGTCCTGAGGTCATTTTGGGTAGTAGATGGGGTGCCAGTGCCGATATCTGGAGTATGGCTTGCATGGTAACTTGTTTAGACTGTGGCTGTGCGATTCATCTGAATGGAAAACGATCTCACGGATCAATTTCGGTTTTAATTGCCAGGTATTTGAACTTTTCACCGGGGATTACCTATTTGACCCGCAGGCTGGGTCGCGATATAATAAGGACGATGGTGAGACAAAGAATAGGCATTTTGGGGCTTTCTTTTTGTTTGAAACAAATTAAGGATTTTTTTTCCCCTTTTCTTTTTTTTTCTTTTGAATATATCATTTAATGGTTTTTTACAGATCACATAGCTCAAATTATGGAGTTATTAGGATTATTTCCTAAACATTTGGCATTAGGCGGAAAATATTCTGGCGAGATATTTAATCGTAAAGGTATGTCATTCATCATTCGTTTATACGCACTTAAATATCAATCATTAGAACGTTCGTGACTTAAAAATGCTTATAAAATCTTCAGGCGAACTCCGTCACATCCATAAACTTCGGCATTGGAAACTTGCGGATGTTTTACAAGAAAAATATTTGCTTCCACGAAATGAGGCCGACTTTATGGCGGATTTTTTGCTGCCGATGTTGGATCTAAATCCTGATAAAAGGTCTATGGCGCGCCAGTCATTAAATCACCGATGGCTCCTACTGGATGATGAAAATGGTGGCATGGGGAGGACACCTTCGGTATCGGTTGATTCACGAGAAACCAATGGATCTAGTAAATCTTCAAGACAAAAAGAAAAAAGTGAGGATAGTAAAGACAAGGAAAAAGAAAGAAACAAGGATGTTAGGATGAGTGGTGTCTTTGATAACGAAGATCGTGACCGAAATCGTCAATCTGAACCTTCTGCCGATCTTAAAAGCGAACACGTGGGACGTTATTAAAAAATTGAAGTGCTTGACGTGGGTCAAAATATCTGACCTCATTTTCACGCAGGTCGGTACTTATCGTGTATTTACGAGTATTATTTGGTGGTGATATATCCCTTTCTGTGAAAAGTTCCATGTGCAATAATTTTGCTTTCCGAAGATCGATACGTTTCTCTTTTTGCGTGGGAAAACAAATATAAATGACAATTATTGATTTTCAGAATCTTGTATTTAGAATTAGAGTTCAAGGAGGCCAGGTACTTTGGTAATATCATTTTAAAAATTTCTTAAATATGAACAATTTATTGAGATTTTATTACTAGATCCCCTGAAAATGTTCTTTTTTGGTTAACTGCACGTTTTGTCTAAAATCGAAAATAATATTTATTTCAAATTTATATCCGTGCTCCTTTGCTAACACTTGTTAAAATACATCTCACTTCCACATCTTAATAGCTCGTTATTCCGAGCATTGTCACAATAAATTAACCTACAATCTAATTTAGATTAATGTTTTATATCTGCAAACTATCATTGAACACTTAAAGGATGGCTGGAGTTTATTTTATTTTCTCATCAAATGACTTAAATAAATCTACTTCATTGCCACTAACTTTTTTTTTATCTTTTCATTATTTGATTTTTTTTATCATTTTTTATTTTCTAGATTAACATTTAGAATGCAAAAAAAAAAAAAAGAAATTGAAAATAAAAAATTTTTTACTTGCAGTATCTATGTGATATAATTACTTGACACGATTTATTATCACGTGATTATGATACAGTTACAGTAAATTGATCTTCCATTTCAAGTTATTCGGTCACAATGGTTGCTTGAAAATACTAGTTTCACATTATTATTTGAGAGATGATTTTGTAAAAGATTTGAATATAGATAATAATTATTTAAAAATTTTTATTGATTATTTATTGAAAATTAGAAACTTCCCAATCATTTTTATATCTATTTCTATTTTTGAAAAAAGTTTTTGTAAAAGACTGGATATAGATAATAATTGTTTATTATTAAATAAATTTTTTTTTTTTTTTTTTTTTTTTAATCTGCAGTCAGGCCAATATGGCTTGTTCATTTTATTGTAAACATATTTGGTATTTACATATTTT